ATTCTCGCAAAAATCAAAATACATTCTTAAGGATAATGAAAAGAATAAATTTGATTGTTACTCCATAATTTTTCATTATAAGCAACAACAAAAAATATTAAATATAAATAAATATAATTATTTTTATATTATTTAATAATATTTTTTTAAAAAATATTTCTTCTTTAATAGATGACATTTTATTATATTACTTATTTATAATAAACACAATCTAAATTTTTTTCTTCTTTAAACCTATTCTCTGTCTCCCCCGCCAACCACGTGTATGTGTTATGAGACGTTTTCAAAATTGGTAAAAATAATAAAAAAATAATAAGCAACATTACAAAAATAAACGTGATTTTTTTCTCTTCAAACAGGATTCATAACATATATATATATATATATATATATATATATATATATATATGAGAGTGGGTATAATTATATCGGTGTAACTTTTACTAAGTATTACACCGCTTAATAATTTTATATTAAATGTGAATTTTGTAAATCCAACCGTTAGATTAAAAGTTCATATCACTTTATATGTATATATCAAATTTTGTTGAAATTGAACAACAACTTGAAAGTAATCAAAGTGTTCATATTTTAGTATATTTTGAAATAAATATATTACGTCAATTTTTTTTATAAGAATGAAGTATCAAATCATATTAGATTAATATAAAATTTTGTATATATGATCTAAGAGTAAAGAATTTTCAATCTAACGATTAGATTTATAAAATTCATATTTAATATAGAGTTATTGAACGGTGTAATACTTAGTAAAAATTACACCAGTATTATTATAACCGTTATATATTATATAATTTGATTTAAAATTGTCATTTTCGTGACGTTAATAGTGGTTAACGTTAAAAAAAATTAAAGTTTACCATTACATATACTCATTATAATATATTTATTTTGACACAGATAAGGACTAAATTGAACTTTGTTAAAAACATGAAAGGTTAAATTAAACTTATTTAAAATATATAAAATAAAATTGAATTTATTTTAAAAGATAATAGATGAAAATGGATATGTATTAATATATTTTTACAAAGTGGTATTATTGAAATTGAAAAAACCAAAAAATAATTTAGAATATATTTCAACACAACCAATTAATTAACTTTGAACTAACTTAATCAATTATGAGTAAGAAATCAAGTTCATCCATGTAATATTTCATTTAGTTTGAATTTTATATAACAACGACCACGTTACAAATATGAAACTTCATTTACTAAAGTATCTACAAAAAATAATTACTTCAATCTAATCCAAAAAAAAATTGTACATCCTAATAGGTAACTAAAATCAGTCCAAAAAAAATTGAACAAATGTGTTAAGATTTAATAACTAACTAAAATTAGTTCTCAAAAAATGAGATTGAAAACTTTATTGTTTTCTTAATTTGATTCCATCTTCAATTATATTTAATTGTGTTAGACTTGGTGTAATTAAGAAGTTGGATTTAAGTTGATGTAATTAATTATATTTATAATTAATTTAATCTTTTGTGTTTTTAATGGATATTTCTAATGAATCATTCATCATATAAGGATATTTCTAATGGAAGCAACTCATTTGAGTTGTTTCATGCATTGAAAAATGAAATAAGTGGTCTCCAATGTGCTATATCAGCATTAAGCAACTCAAACACAAATTTACTCCAATGATAAGAAACTTTAAAAAATTCAACTTTTAGAATTTTTTCTTCTTCTAATCATTTATGAACCAAATTTAAATTTTTATTAAAAAGGATAATTGCATTACAATGAAAGAAAATAAATTACGAGAAAAAATACACAATAAGTAGATATTAAAAATAAAATAAAATAATAATAAATACATAAATATTATACGAAATTAATTTTCAGCATTATTATTTTCGAAACGTTCCCAAATATGTTCAATAAGATTTGCTTGAAATCTGGTAAGGAACGGTTGCTTTGAGGAAACAACTCTCTCTCTTCTTCAAACAACTCATATTGCCACGTCAGAGTCTTCCAATAACAAGAAACCGGGACTTGAGTTACTTCATGGGACAAGTAACTCCCATTAGAGTTGCTCTAAGATTGCTTTGAGGAAGCAACTCTCTCTCTTCTTCAAACAACTCATATTGCCACGTCAGAGTCTTCCAATAACAAGAAACCGGGACTTGAGTTACTTCATGGGACAAGTAACTCCCATTAGAGTTGCTCTAAGAGTTTTTCTCAATATAGTCAACTTAAATTTTTTTAACATTAACCATTACAAACTTTATATAAATGATCATTTTAAATTACTTTACAAATGTAAATATATAAATTATTCTTTTAACATAAAGACCAAATTCAATATAAAAATATGAAATAAATAACCACAAATATAAATACAAATATGTACAAAGTCCTAATTCAGATCTTGTCATCCTGTGTATAATTTTTCTTATGCATACAAAATATAATTAGTATTTACGAAAAAGACATTAACCCATGCTGAATAATAAATTATTCCTTTGAACAGAAATCCTAGTTGCATAGATAGTGGCATATAGAAGATTGTAACTTCCCTTGGAATTTGACGTCTCTCATGTTTTGGTATGCACCATGTGCGATACCGATAAAATTCTGAAGCACATGGGTATATAAAATAAAGTGAATTATAGGAGGTAATAGGAATCTTCTCTAGACAATGCCTAGCTAAACTAATCTTTAGTTCTTTACTCCTATATTGAAAGTCCCTTTCATTTATCACCGACTGATATGAACTATTCTCTAGTTCTTTACTTGTTTCATATTAACAAGGCATATTCATCTAAAATTCAAAATTTGAACATATAATTATATTACATGTTTTGAATGAGAATTTTATTTTGTTTATAATAAATTTTTTTTCATTTAAACACATCATTTCTAATAAAAAATATTACTTTTTAAAAGAGTTGAAAAAGAAATTATTATCTAAAATAATATCTTATTTAACTTAAATAAAAATACTTTTAGTAGAAAACACACATGATCTATATATATATATAAGCTTTTCATTTGTGGCAACTGCTAATGCTAAGAGTTATTTTAGGATATAAAAATTAATTTACACAATTTTATTCACATTTATATGGTATAATCTGCATATATTTTTATATGTGTTGATGTGTGAAAGTGAAACAGTAATGTTACTCTTAGTACGACAGGTCACTCTCCCTTTCCCTTCAATTCAATTCATTGAAGTTTTCTACAGGCTACTACCGCTACTGCTACATGGGACATGCAAACCACTTGGAGTGGGGTTCAGTGTAACCTAAAATAGCCTTTCACGCTATCGCAAATGCTACGTGTTAGGAGGAACTTCAAAGTCCATTTTGGGGTGCCAAGCATAACAACCTATCATCCACCAGACATATATCTCATCATATCATGTCATCGAAAGACAATAACATCCTCCCCACATTTATCAACCGTTCAAACTTTTTTTTTAAATAATTATGTCTAATTTTAGAAAGTCAGTTACATTTTTATATAATAAACTTGATTCTTACTTTTTAAAATAAATTACATTAAGTATGTTTTTAATTTTTAAATTTAGATAAATTTATTTTTGACTAAATTAACTTTTAGTCTTTCTTTTTTAATTTATCTATAATTTCAATTCTTCTGTTTTAAAATAGAAACATTTAATCTTCCTAATTTTAAAAATATAAAATTTTAATTTACTCATCAAATTTACATTTATTAATAGCTAAATTTCAACATTTACTTTAACTTCAATCATATAACATTCAGTGACATTTGAAAATAAAATAAATATTAATCACTTATTAAAATAAATACAAATAAATATTTTTAAGTTATTTTTTTATTCCTATATGTAATGTTATTAAAGATCATATAACTTAAGTGTTAACATATCACCGAACAACATTAAAATTTAATTATTAATAAACATCTAATTGACATTATGACTAAAATCCTATATTTTTTAAAAAGAGAGACTAAATGTTCTTATTTTAAAATAAAATAACTAAAATTACAGATGGACAAAAATAAAGGGACCAAAATTGTATCCTTCATAATTAAAATATATTTGTATTCAATATTTAGTTTTATAAATAATAATTATAATAAGATACATACAAATCATAAAAATAATTAAATTAAATTAATTTTTTTAGAGTAATTTTAAATGTCTATGAAAATGGGCTAAAAATATAAAATTATATTTTTGTTATGTATATTCATAAACACTACTCTTTTGTCGCATAATAGTTGTCATGTGTGAAAAAAATCTCAAAATAAATAATATATTAACTTTTTAATAACATTAATTATCTTATTTTTATTTGTGCCTCTCATAATTTTTTAGAAAGTAATTTTATGTTGCATCCTTTCTAATGTTAACTTTATAAATTATAAAATTAATTTTATAAAATTATTAACTTTTCATGATCTATTTATTAGCTTTTTTATATGTACAAAACAACCTTGAGGGAATATTTATAATACTTTGAAGTTTTAAGTTGTGATTTGTAGTAAACTATATTACGATTATGTAATATACTTTGAAAATATTAATATTGTTGATACAAGTGATAATAACTTGTATTCTTTAATTAAATTAAGATGTCAAGTGTTCAATTTTTAACTTTGAGAATGAAATAGATTATGTTAAAAAAATATATATATTTCATTTGTAATCGCGATTTCTAATAAAAGATTAGTCATTACTTTCCACCGTGAATATCCATCTTATGGTTAAAAAAAATATTTCAAAAGATTTATCTTACTTTATTAAATATGTGATTTATATTAAACTATCTAATGTTAAACTTGATTTCAATAAAAAAAAAAAAATACAACTACTCCTAATGTAAGGATATTTAATAATCCGAATTTTAGAGTGCAATTAATACTATAGTAACAAGGTTTGAAAAGTTTTCATAACCACATTATGGCTGCAATTAGGGCCACTTTTACCCGCAAATTTTAATTATATTAAAATTTTAAACGTTTCCACAACCACAATTCAAAACCTTGACTTTATAATAGAAGGAAATCCCACCGTGTACATTAATTTGTAGACTGACGAATGGAGATACAGAGACGAACGGGAGGGGTATTTTAGTCATTTAACGATGATTGAATATTTGAGATTAGTGATTAATTGCAATTAAAGCTTAGATACAAAAGTACTACAATGGTGACCACATCCAAAACCCAAAATAATTCCAAATCTCTAATTTTCCACACTTATCCCCAAAACAAATCACATAATATTCCACCATGTTAATTAATCTTTATTAAACATCACACTAGTTGCAACAAATCTCACCGGAAAACGGATCGTCCTCGCCGGAAAATTCCCTGTGCCTCGTGGGAGAAATGTCAATCTCGATCAAATTCTCCTCCTCAAACTGAAACCCCACCTCCCTCTTCTTGCATCCATCAAGAGCTATCTCAATTAACCCTTCTCTGTCCTCTTCGTCCCACCTGAAGCGCATGTTCTCCGGCGAGTCCCAGTTCTCTGTCGCCGGAAAACCACTCTCCGACGAGCTATCCGAGTCAGTCTCAGGGTAGTAGCGTGACAACGACGGGTACCTCAAAATACCAACCTCATTTTGATCATGCTCTGTTTCCTCGCCTTCGTAAATCACTTCCAACGGCGCTTTCACGTTCCATTCCACGAAAGAGTCGTCAAAACGCGAACTTGAATGAAAATCCGTTTGGGACTTGAACTCTACTTCAGATTGGCTCCTTACCCATCTGTAAACGTGGTCGAGAGAATCGTTTTCCACCGCTTCAATGATGCTCCCCTGTTTCTCTACTCTGTTTTCGTTGGTTCCAAATCCAATGGGTTCGGGTTGAACCGGGTTTTCCTTTTGTTGACTTTGAGACCTCTGAATTGCACCGAGGCGGAGGAGGAGGAGCAAGAGAAGCCCGGAGAGAATGAGCACGGGCGAGAAAAGTATCTTGGAAAATAGACGAGGCAAATAAAGGAGAATGAGGATAGAGAAAGTGACAATGCAAGAAAAGAGAGGATGGGAAGAGTGAACAGAGAGAAAGGAAAGTGTCTCTGTGCATAACAAGTTGGCAATGAATTTGATTTCCCAAAGAAACTTAGTATCCTCCATCGGGCACAAGAAGAGGATAATGAACTATGATTCCAACAAGAAAAAAGATGATGAGGAAAGCGAAGCCATGAGAAAGGGAGGGGCTAAGACAGGGTGTTGTGTGGGGTTTATAAGGGCTTATTTGCGTGAGAAGAAGGCATGGAATAATAATAATAGGGTGGGAACTGGGAACTGGGAACTGGGAAGGGGGTGTGGTCCTGTGGTGTGCAATAACCAAGACGATCTTTTATGCATACACAAAAAAACTACAAATCCAACCTAAAAAGTTGTTATGCTTTTACACTTCTCAAACCGTACTCAATATAGGTTTTTATTCATGGAATCTATTCCATTTTATTTCTTAGTTTAATTACCAGTCCAAGACGTTGGTTTCAGCTCCAAGTGCCATTAAGTAACCAAGTATTTCATTCTTTTCGGTTACTAATTTACATAAATGCGAAACTTAACCCACAACCATATGCCACACCCCCTAGACACTCCATTTTGGGTAAACCGCTTAATAAGTCTACGTAGTGTAAATGAAGACACAAAAAAATATTTTTATATAATATTCAAAAAAAATTCTCTTCTCCTAATATTGAAAGAGAAGTAAATATAGATTAGAAAAGAAAAAACTTAAATATAATTTCTAAGTATGATTGGTATTATTATCTAATTAAAATATACTTAATATATATATATTTAATTCATTGAAAATTAAATATATTTAAGTAGGTTAAAATTTCAATTTGGTCCTTCATAATATTTGTTTGTTTTAATTTAGTCCCACTTTAATTTTTTGTTTCAATTTGGTCTCTAATAATTTAAATTAATGCAATGTTGGACTTTCGTCCAAATTATTTAAACGGAGTTAACTGTTGGTCACGTGGATACCACGTAGATGCATATGTGGATGCCAAATTTCTTTAATGCATCTAGAACCAGAACGACCCGTTCTGAAACCAGAACAACCCGTTCTGGTTGCACTCTTGGTGTGTTAAATTTGCACCTAGAACGGGCCGTTCCAGATGCAAAATTAACACACCAATAGTGCAACCAGAACGGGTCATTTTGATTCCAGAATGCCAAACACAAACGGTTGATGATTATAGTTCACGGTTATGAATCGTGCAAGGAAAAAAACTCAAGGTACAAAGTTGCACTCTTGGTGTGTTAAACTTGTACCTAGAACGGGTCGTTTCAGATGCAAAATTAACACACCAATAGTGCAACCAGAACAGGCCGTTCTGATTCTAGAATGTCAAACACAAACGGTTGATGATTATAGTTCACGGTTATGAATCGTGCAAGGAAAAAGACTCAAGGTACAAAGTATTTCAAATACTGGATTTGGTAATATTGTCAATGGGGATTGATAACTTCAATTGCTAAACATTTGAACCATACAGTGTATCTGACAATGCAGTGTATCACTAAGGACAATGGTAGCAAGTTTTATTTCATTGTTAGTCAAACTGGAGTGAATCACTTACTACCAAATTCACACTATACAGTCAAGGATGAAAGAACATGGTGTTTTCCCTTGAAGTCATTGACCGATGTACCCCAATAACAACATTTTCTTTAGGAATTACAACCTGAAGTAAAATAACAGGACACACAAGACCAACATTTCACCACACAACCACATGTACAGGTAGATAATACTGATATCCTATCAGTCATTCAGTGTTATATGGTGGATAAGATGTATTATTAACATCTTCAGCGTTATCCAGATAATTTCCCTTCTCAATAATTTCTTTGAACTTTCTTAGCATATGTTATGTTATGAATTTTGTTTTCGGTCTCTGAACCATATTTCTATTTTTGAATTTATGTTATGTTATGAATTTTTATTTTCAATTTTTGAATCACATTGTGACATTTTGTTGAACATACGTATGTGGTTGGCGTTTTTGAACGACCCGTTCTAAATCCAGAACGACCCGTTCTAAAACCAGAACGGCTCGTTCTGGTTTTAGAATGGCCCGTTCTGCTGCACTTGTGGTGTGTTAATTTTGCATCTGGAATGGCCCGTTCCAGATGCAAAATTAACACACAACATGTGTAATCAGAACGGGCCGTTCTAGTTTCAGAATGGGCCGTTCTGGTTCTAGGTACATTCAAGAAATTTGGCATCCACCTAAGTATCTACGTGGCATCCACGTGGCCAACAGTTAACTCCATTTAAATAATTTGGACGGAAGTCCGACATTGTACTAATTTAAATTATTAGGGACTAAATTGAAACAAAAAATTAAAGAGGGACTAAATTGAAACAAAAAATATTATAAGGGATCAAATTAGAGTTTTAACCATTTAAGTAATAGTAATTAACATTATATACTAAAAATGAATATTTAATTTGTACCAGAGTATTTCTAAGAGTTTTTTTTAATGAGAAGATTTTGTAGGAATTTTAAACTTCTTACTTAATTTAAATTTTATTTATCATAATTATTTATTAATTAAATATTAATATTTTAAAATAAATTATCAATAAATAAATAAATGCCCAAGTTTGAGAACGGCCCGTTTTGGGCTACTTAAAAATCAAAATATTACAAAAATTAATTTTCATAAATATTCATTATTAAAATACTAATAATTATTAAAAACCTTTAAAACATTCTATAAAAGTCATTAAAATAACTATAAGAAGATAATGTCCACAAATATAAAATAAATAATAATTAACTAATTTATTTATTTATTAAAAAATATCTTTCTAATTTCATAATTTTTAATTTTATATATTTCAAAAGTATTAATTTAGTTATTTATTGAAAAATATAAAATAAATAATATATATATATATATATATATATAGTGATGTTTTTTAGTTAGTTAGTTAGTTATATTTTACTTAAATAAAATAGAAATAATATTGGTGTATATAAAGAATAGATGAAAAGTGACAAATTCTATAATTTAAGTATTATGTGGACTAATTATATTTTGTTACTTTACCAAATATTTTATCATTCTATATTTTAAAGGATTTTCACTCCCACAATAAAAAACTATATATGAATATAGATATAGGTGCGAATCTCAAATGATAAACTTGGACGAAATTAGGACATACATAATTTGATTAAATTCTAGAACATGGTATTGATACACGTGGTTCATATTTAAAAGTTGTTAGAATATATGCATGCCCTCGAGAAACTTAATTTTTTTTTTTACCTACATTGCATTATAATTCCTTTATAATAATTGTTTAAAGTTATTTTACACGTACTAAAAAAAATATAATAAATTTTTATAGAATAATTTTGATATTTTTTATTATATTTTCTTTTATTTTTGTTCATAATAAATATTTTTCTATGAACTAAGATTAATTTATACATATGTTAAAAAAATATTTTATAAAAATTATTATGAGAAATTTTTATAAATTAATTTTAACTTTGAGAAAGTTAATATCATTATTTTTTATTTTTTCCAAAAAATAGAAAAAAATTATTTAAACAAATCCTATACTATTATTGTATATATGTAGCTTCATACAAATTCCTAGATGGAGCCTTAAATTGGAAATCGGCGACCCTGGCAGTTGGTACCCAATCTGTTAGAAAACACACAAATCCATTAGTGTCATTATTTTCTTGTTAAAATGATGACTTGCTTTTCTATGATACACTTTTCGCAAAAAATCTCTTTCATCTTTCTTTTGTCACTTTGGCCTCGACTTCAATCTTTTATTTATGAATTATGAATGGGAGTGGAATGTTTTCGTAGACATAAAGTGCTTGACTTTATTGTTGAATTTATGTGTTTTCACTTTTCATTGGATGCTAAAAAAAATCTACGTTGAGCTGTACCAACATCTTAGAGTACCTTGTGCAATGTCATTAAGCATAGTTAAATTATATATAAGTGATCTTTCATAAATAAAAAACGAATGACTAATAAATTTAAATTTTGCTATTTCGGAAACCCTAATTATTGTACTATCACTTTGCCTACGCGTATGTGGTTATGTATTCAACTATTCATCGACAATGAATTGATGACTGCTGACTTTTGCTGCTTCAACCAAACTAATTAGTCCTTTGCAATGCTATGATTGCCTCTATGCTTATATTTCGTCCAATTAGAAATGTTAACACTTCATGCATCAAGTATACAAGTTAAATAGATCATTAAATATGGGACCCATATGCTCAAAACTTCTAAACACTAAATTCATTGTATGTTTGATATGTCATATTTAAAACAAATAGCAAAATATGTATGTTGTATTAACAGCTAAGTAACATTCATGCAAAGATGATACTAAAACAAACAAAGCAAACATTAGCTCTATCAAATATCATAAATAGTTACTAAAAGCCACCATACTCACTTACACCTACAACTCCCGAGGTGCAAAATCTAGGGGTGTTCAAATTGTTAAACTAAACTAAACTAAAAGAAAACTAAACTAAACTATAATAAATAGTTCACTAAACTAAATTGAACTAATATAAATATTGACTAAACTAAACTAAACTATTATCTAGATTAGTGCACTATAGTTTTAGGAGTTTGAACTAAACTATAATATCAATTAAATTAAATTATTATTAATTATAAATTAAATTATTATTAATTATAACTAAATTGAACTATATTAAAAAAATAAATTTAAAATCAACATTTTTAAATTGAGCTACCAAATCATTGATATTAATTATAAATTAAATTTAAAATAATTTTTGTAAAACAATGTTAGAATCTGCAGTGCTATTCTGGCTTCTACTTTCTTGTTTATCTTAAACTAATTTGGTTTGTTCAGAAATAAATAAAATTAGAGGTAAATAAAATATGGTTAAAGATTATTTTCATCAAGGATTTGTTTGAACCTAAGTTTAAAAGTACTTTTTGCTTGCATCCAAACATATATTAATTGTTTTTATATTACTTTTTTCTTCATTTTATCTTAAATTTTAACTACCTATATTTTAAAATTAATTCATATTAACTTTTAAAAAAAATGAGACAGATAAGTTATGTATGTAGAAAAAATTAGCTGTGCAAAAAGTAATTACCTTGCACCAAGCCTTTTCGTCGGTTTTCACCATAAATTGCATCAAATCTAGGCCCAAATTACCCAAAAAAAGAAAAAGGGAAAAAAATAGTAGCAAATTCTTACCCCTTTTTTATCCCAAATTAAAAAAAAAAAAAAAGAGAAAATGACACTACGACTTTAATACCTCCGTGCTTCCGTGAATGTGCAGTGCTTAAGAGAAAATGATTCTACCACATACATTAATAGTTTTGAACGACGAACCGTAGCCTCCCGTGCTTCCGTAAATGTGCAGTGCTGTATTTGGTTTTAGTAAACTGAACTATTAATTTTAATAGTTTAGTTTTATAAACTATACTAAAAGTAATAGTTTGGTTTAAACTATTAAAAAATAATTTAGTTTATTTTAGTTTAGTTTAGTTTAGTTATTTAAAAAGTTTAGTTTTAAATAGTTTTGTGAACACCCCTAGCAAAATCATTACCAAGTTAAGAGCTCTATTATTCCCCCACACTAATAGCATCTGTGTCTATTCAATAGCTACTTGTTCCCCAACATTCCCTGCATTAAAAGCCCCACTATTATACCCTGCATATGGATCAGTTACCACCCAAGAATTCCTTCCTCTTGTCTCAAGGTTCATTTCCACCCAAACCAACTCTTAAATTTCTCACATTGTTCAGTTCCCTCAGCTTGACTTGTCAGCTTTCATCATTAAGCATCAACACTGTTCTATTCATCCTTCTTTGTGGCAACTCAATAAATACAAATAATACATGCAATAAGTATCAAAGTTGGTGATAATATGAGCATTAAAAGTGTAGTTGCCTTCCCTTCCTTTTGGACTTTGAACTGGCCCACCAATGAATTGCTATGTGCATACATGGACATTAAACCCCTTCTGTCATTAAGCATTTTCAGTGAATACATATTATTCTTTTTGACAACTCAGCTTCTGTGATGTGAATGCATTCGCTTTACAGGTTTTTGATCTTTAACATTTTCACCTTGGTCGTCTTTCAAAGAAAGCATCATGTTTCAAATCATTTCACATTTCTGTCATTTGGCTAAACTAACTTCTATTTTCAAAGACTATTGCTCCTTTTCACTTAGTTCATATGGATGTTTGGGTGCTTGTAACTATTTCATCTATTCATGGCAATAAATACTTTCTCGTTGTTGTAGATGATTTTACAAGACGAATGATTTTTTTTTGAGATCAAAAACTAAAATCAAAACGTTTGTTTATAACATCGTTAACTTAGTAAAGACAATTTAATTACATAAATAAGTGAACTAGAACTGATAATGCCATAATGGTGTTGAGTTTCTTTTGCCACAAACAACTCTACACTAAAACAAAACCATTGACATATACTTAATGTGTCTAAACCTCTACTCTATGAAGCTTAAATGTCCAAAATCTTCTGGTCATACGCTATTAGTCATGCAATTCACACTGTTAACAGGTAGGTACCTTCATTGGTGACTCTCATTTCTTGGCATTCAAATAAGCAGCGTCCTCAATCTTCTCTGAATTTGAATACAAAATAGAAATATACTTAATGTGACTAGGCCTCGAGCTCACATTTCCAAATGATTCTGGTCTTACTATTAGTTATTACTTGATGTGGTTAGGCCTCTACTCTATCAAATCCACATTTCCAAAATTACCTTCGTTGGTAACATTTGTTGGTGAAGCAACCCGTTGTTGCTCTCTCTTCTTCAAGATATGAATACATCATCTCTCTATGTTTAAAAAATAAAAAACAAGAAAAGAGTAAAAAAAAAAAAGAAAGAATAAAGAGTGGGAAAAAGAGAGCAAATACTTTTGTTTTTAAAAAAACTGTGTAAATAAAATAACGAATATACTATTGTTAAGAGAAAAAAAATTGTCAAATAAATGTGTACACGAACATAAATTATTACTTTTTATTATAGTTATAGATGAAAAAAATTAATAAGCTGTACTATTAACTTATTGAAGTTAACCGTCACATTGTTGAAAAAAGTTAGTGGCCAGATTATTTCATTGATTCTCATCTTCACTCATGATTAGCTTGTTGATTATCAAACAAACCTCGGCCCTGATCGCCATTCATGTGTTTATTTAGTGTATGATGAACAGAAAAATAATATAAACTACATCTAACATTTTTTTCCTATAAAATGAATATCACTTAATTCACATATAATATTAAATAATAATAAATATCTAAAACATGACAGATATACTTGTGTAAAAAAGTTTGCAGTCAGTGAAGTCTTATCCTCTCCATAAAATTGATAACTACACAGTTAGAAGTATCTTGGACACTTTCCATGAGAAAGATGTATCAGGAAAACTTCTTCCATATGGAGGTCTTGGAATCCGCATTTATATTGGGAAAGGGAATCTGAAAGATGTAATGGCAAAAATAATGATTATATTAATTAAAAATGTCAGGAAAACATAAGGGAAGAAGAGAGTTATTACCAAACATGGATGGGGAGTAAGTATGCAAGTCCGGAAACCTCTGTAGGATAAGGTTCACTACTAGTGCTGTAATTTAAAGACATTGTCCTTTCATCACTTGCTATTGGATAGGATTCATTCATGCCATTTCTGTAGGCATCATGACAGGGTTCAGTATGAGTGCAATAATCAAAAGAGGGTTTGTTCAGTCCACTATGGAAGGAATCAGCATCACAATGAACCATATTGTTCCCTACAATGTTTGTTATTAATAATAGTTGTTTTAGAAATAAATATACAGTTAAATTATCTTTCTGTTTTTTTTTTTTAATAGAAAAAACAAGTTCATGTTATTTCCTGAAACATATGATCCGCAATACAGGATACCACGTGATGACATCTACAGGGACAAAGGATATTCACAGAGGCTCTTGCCATTATTTGAGCTACTAGGTTGGCTTGCCTCCTTGTGTGGCCAACTTTACAATTTGGCATCATAGCAACAAGATTTTTACATTGTGAAATAGTAAGTCTGAGTTCTGTGTTGTTTGGGGAAGATCTTTGTAAGTCTTCCACGACTTGTTTGCAGTCCAGCTGTATCTCAGAATGGGAGGTTATTATCCCATATCAGAGTATTTCTGCTCTTTCCTATACACCAGAGTATGAGAGAGATCAGATGCCTGTTTTGTGTTTTCTGTTTCAAGAAAGCTGAAAATAACTTCTTTGAATGAGTCTGCACTGGAGGCAATTGCAGAGACCAGCCATAATCCATGTTGTTGAGAAAGATAAAAACAATTAAGCAAAAGCAAAATTGAAATTTCTTTTCTCCTGTATAAATAATAATAGATTATAAAGGTAATGAGATAATTTTAGCAGGATGTCCACAACAAAAAAATAGAAATCATTTCCAAATTTTAAGGAGAGAAAATCCTCAATCCACTAAAAATTCTACTAATAATATTCAATGGATATACGACAAGTCCTCCTCGAGTAGCCAGGACCACTAAAAATAGCTCCTCACTAATATGGTGATAACAATACAAGAAATCCTCCAAATGAGTATCTAATCAAAGAATAGAGAGAATTAAAATACAGAAATTAGTATCAAACACTTATTCTTTAAGTTGGTTGTTCCACTGTTTTTCACGAAATTCTTCTTTTTTTTTCTCTATTTCACAAAGAGACACAACACATGCAGACGCACGCACTACTCTCTAATTTCTCTTTTTTCTAAAAGGTTGATCTCTCATACCAAGAATTTATATACAATTACACATATTAAACTTTTTTTTAAATATTATTAAAGTTAACATAAACCCAAATAAATTGGTCATCTACTTGACACATATTCTTTATATGGTTACAAGCTAGTGCGGGTTGGAAGACAATCTCTGTATGCTCTGCTCTCCGTGGACATTTAGTGCTGTTATTAGTGATTGTCTCCTTGAGGTGGTGATAGGCTGATTTGACTAAGTATTGTCCGTCCTTAGTCTCCAAATATGTACATCTATATCTTGCAGGTTGAAGGTTCTAGTAAGGAGTTCAATTTTCCAGCACAAATGACAATGGTTGATCAAGGACTCTACTTTCTTGTTTTTGAACTGAAGGTCAACTTCAGATTGTATGAAAGAGTTGTTATTACTTAGTTAAGGATTGTTGAATATGTCTATGTTTTGGCCATTTCCCACCCTCCATCTATAGTCCTCACTCCTCACGTACTAAAACCTGTGAAGGCCAGATATTGCATCATTTGTAGTTGGGGTTGTTTCCAAACTTGGCTTCTAAAAAATCCCCCTTGAAAAGGTATCTAGTTTTGAGGACCCTTGTAATCATGCATGGAATCTCGATTGGATAGCAGATTCCAACCTTGTTTTCAACCATTGCCAGGTTTAAACCACCATGTAAGTTCTTTCCTTACTTTTTGGAAATATTAATTAATAAGCATAGTTAAGATAAGAAAAAAAATAATGAATTTCTCCTTCCTCAATTTCTCAACTAAGAAAAATCACATAATTATAAATATTTTAATAATCTTTATAAAAATAAACAATCAATTACCACAACAGAATTATTTAGAAACTTCATAAATATATAAATTTAGTACAACTTCAATTCACTACAAAATATATATTAATAAAATAAAATAAATTTAATCATCAAAAATCATAACAAAAATTTGTGCACCATGATAATGACATGAAAATTCGCTTCCCTCACTTGTTGGCAACATTAGCTAATAGTTTGAATAAATATTAATTTCACCTCACTCAATTTTTTTGTCTTTTTAAGAAGGTATATCACAGAATTATAAATGTTTTGTGAATCTTTACAAGAAACTCCATTAAACTCCATTAAAGCTAACTGAATCTATTGCAACAAGATGTGATGAAAGAAAGGTAAACAAAATGAAAATTCAGGAAAAAGAATTGAATCTTTCCTCATTTTATTAAGATGAGATTAAGTGTCTGTTCTCAAATTTAATAATCTATCATAATATAAATGCCAAAGATTGTCCTCCAAAGAAAATCCTTGAAATATCTATTCTATTTGCCTATCTATAGTAGATGTACAGAAAAATAATATAAACCAAAAGAATCTTCAATGAAAGAATTGAAGAAATGGCTTGTGAAGAATAAAGTGTGAAATAGGCCAATGACATCTTTTTAAGTAGATCTCTAATCTCTCTACGGTATAATCTATTCACAATCCTTAGTTGTTCACTATTGTTCTTCATCCATGAAAGGAAACAAGGTCACTGCAATGTCCTCCAGCTTCTTCCTGTTAAATCTTGACTTTGGCTTCTTTATCAAAGGTGCGTTTGGAGCTTCTTTTTCCTGAAATCCATTTGCATCCTCCAAATCTAATGGAGTAAGAAAATAAAAAGTTTTCTTCTTTGGTGTTCTGTACTCAAAATGTAATTCTTTTGCTATCAGACTCTGCAATAGACAAAACCCAACAATTATAATTAGAATAATCAAATTATAAATACGGAGCAATAATGCAACTAGAAACTGCTTCTGCTTCAAATCATACCGCTTCTCTGATCGTTTTTGATACATGAAAAAGTTGCCTCAAATCTTCATGGTCCACACCAGACAACACCTGAACCTGCAATTCAAAATACCCTTAACACAATTAAAAATTAAAACTCATAGTAAATAAAAATTTAAGCTTAAAATTTATTCAGACAAAAAAAAACTTGAAATTTCCGTTATTACCAGAATATCCTGAGGAAGGGCTTCAAGGGGAGATGCTTCAGAGTTGAGAGAGATTCTGTCACTACTGCACATTCTCTTCAATGGATTAGTCACTTGAGGAGAAGCTTCCACATTGTTGGAAACTACCACCCTCTTCCTTCCCAGTGTTAGAGTATAACTAAAACCCTCAAGTCCAATTGACATATTTTCAAGTGCAAACTCACCAACAAAAATACTCTCTCTTTTTTTTTCTGCAATCTGCAATATCCAACAAAGAAGCACTATTTATCAACCATTACAACAAACTCATGAGGAAATTTATGAATTATGACACAATAAATACAATTGTGAAAAAAATCAATACTTTCCTGAAAAAATCACAGAAGAATCATTAAAAAAGAGGAAAGAAAAATTAAAAAAGAATACAGAAAACAAACCTAATGTGTTCCTAAAGATGAGCGCTAAATTTACTAGGGTTTCTATGTATGCTTGCAGATAGGGCTTGTTTATGCTGATAAAGAGGGAAATCAGAAATTGAAATCCAGTATGATTGATAGAACTGCACAGTTGATTTATGGATGGGTCAAAATCGAAAGAAAATAGCCGTCTTTATATAAACCAGATGAAAAGCATTCCATTTTAAAAAAGAAATTACTGTCATCAATATTTATTTTTTATTTAAACTAAAAAAGAAACGTGTGAGAAAATTAAGGAAATTACTTGTTAAACTTCCAATCATCCCTTGTTGGCGGTTAAAAAAATAAATAAATAATTGCTTGGAGCAAATAAAGAGCCGTTGCAGGGGATGACACAAGTGGATCTGATGTGGCAATTGGGTCGGCCAGAGTCGGTGTTGTCGGTACCTGGTACCTTCTTATACACGTTCCTTTTGTGTGTACTTGTCCTGTGTGGTGGGCTGTTATCACTGTGGATCAAAACGCGTTAAAACATGTATTGGAATCCAAGGTTCAACCTTTTTTATAAAGACTAAATAAATTAAAAAAAGGTAAAATATATGTATATATTAAAATAACAAGAAACTGCAAAATTAGAGTGGATCAATGTTGGTACTTCAATCTAAAGTATATTTGACGACAATTCTAAATAGGCGGCTCGCAGACTGTAGGATGTTTTACCAGATTTTACACCATCCAAAAAACATATAAATTAGTACTTTTTTTTTTTCATTTAGATTTCTGTTTTCACTAATAAAGTCAGAATTAGTCAAAAGCATTTGAATTTTTACCAGTTATTATATTTTTAAGAGACATAAAAGAAAAAAATACACAGTATCACTTCTATAATTTCTATTGGATTTATGTTATATATAAAGTGATCATATATAATATTTATTATATATTTCAATTTTATGTTTGATTCAATCTACAAAATAAAATATTTTATTTTATTTAAATAATTTTTTTTATCAGATTTACCTAGATTTAATATATATATATATAATTCAAGAATAAATATTTATTATATATAACTATATTTTTAATAACATTTTTAAAAT